GCTATCCTCCATTGAAGAGAAAAGGTAGCCTCTATGCATTGACACCTTGGAAAAATGTGATTGCTCAGGTATCTTGCAAGTCACCAACTTAGTATTGGAGACCCAGTTAGGAGCTTGACTCTCACATCGATGAAACCCAAACCACCGTAATCATTCACCACACAGATGTAACTGTTATTTGTCATTCCAACCATGTAACTGTTATAAGTTTTGTCACTTAAAAGGATAAACACGTTTCCCAAGAAAAATATTATTATTTTTAGATTTTGGCATAACTCTGCATGATAATAAGAGCAGGTGAAGAGCTGTTAAGATTCTATCTTTTTTGAGTTAGAAGTTCTTTTTACTTAAAGTTAAAAAAAGAAATTTTAAAAAAAGCTAAAAGATGTTTGATTATTTCATAAAAAATTTAACTTAAAAGCACACATTTCAAAAAAAATCTCTCTTTCTCTATATCTCTATGACTCTTCATTTAAAAAAAATACACAATTTAAGAAAAGCTTATAAGAGCTTAAAAAATGCTTCTCCTAGGAGCTTTTGGTTTTTTTTTTCATTATAAAAAGAGAGCTTTTATTATAAAAGTTTTTCTCAAAACTTGTTTGGCCTAGTTTCTGTTTAAAAGTAGCTTCTAGCTTAAAAATAAGAGGATCCAATTAGGCACTAAGTCTTATTATTTTTTTTACCTTTGTTAACAAGTATCGTGTCGGTCAATTTCGGAGAAAAAAATGGATTATATCTTTTCATGGGGGATCGACAAATTATTGGGCCGAACTGGATTTAATACCGTAATTTTTCTGCCTGAGAGCGCTTTAATGCGCTACAACACGCTTGAGCGCCCTCTTCGAAAGAGAATTTGCTCATATGAGCACTTCAGTGCGCTAGTGCAGAGAATGTTGGTCATTCTCGCTTTATGAGCGCATTGTAGAGCACTAAAAGGCGCTCCATCTGTCTTTAATTTACTTGTGAATTGCTTCAAAGGGGATCCTTTTGGTTTTAAATATCTTTCTCAAGGTCCTTAATCCATTTTAGCACCATTTCATGTCAATTCACCTTCAAAACAAGCAAGATCATGTTATGTTAGCTCAAAATCCAACTTTCATGCTTTTTAACTACAAAATTTAAGTTTCCAGGCATTTGTCAAGGTGCAATGGACAGGAAGAACTCTTGAGGAGTGTACTTGGGAGTGAGAGGACGAGCTTCCCCGGCAATACCCCAAATTTCAAGACATGTAAATTTCTAATTTTGCGGACAAAATTCTAAATGGTGGGGTGAATGTAAGAACCTGCACCGTTAAATTAGGAATTTAATTAATTAATTATGAGATTAATGAGATAATTTCATAATTGACCCTAATAATTATGAGAAGGCTTAAATAATTATGGTAATTGATTAATAATGTTGAAAGTCGTTTTTCTAACGAAAAATGCAGATACTGATTCTACCTCACGGTATAAATGCATACCGATGAAGTATCCCGGAAAATTATGAAAAGTATGCATATGTCACTAGAATAATATATAGGACTAGCATAACAAGTTTCAAGTCAAAATAATGAAAATTGACCTCAGAACTGATATTGGCTACGTAAAAGCGCGTACCGACAAAGTGCTGCGAAAAAATAAAATAAAAATATGACAAATATTAGAAAAATGGCTAGGTTCAAAATCCTAAGTTTGAGATTAAAATGCTAAGCGTAGCTATTAGTGCTAATATTGTGTGCTAAAGACTTAAACAACTATAAATACTCCTTATTGCACAAAACCCTAGGCTATATTGGCTTCCTACGTGAGTTGCTCAGTTGTTGATTGCCTTCTCATTGCTATCAACTTCTTCCTCTCCACCTTGTGAGCCAAGAGGTCACCTCTCCTCTTGATTTCGTCATCAAATCCCCTAATGTGAGTGTGCATTAGACTTGTGAGGATGAGAGGTAGCCATTGCTGAGTGCTCAGCCACTGTTTGTTGGAGTGTGTGGGTTGACTTCATGGTGGGAGTGGAGGGAACCATTGTGGTGGCATTTGAGCTTCAAGAAGCCATTTTTGGTTATAAATGACCTTGCTTGCTTGTCATTCTCGTTTCCTTGTGGAGTCAGAACTGTGGGGACTGATTGGGGAGCTCCAAGAGCAATTGTAACTCTGTTTTGAAGCCTTGGGTAAGTGCATCACCCTTGATCATGAGTTTCCTTAGTTAAAAATAAAGCCTTGGCATGTTTAATAAGATGAACAAGTAACCAACATGATAACTAGTCTAAAAGGGTTTAAAGATGCATGATTTAACGTTCTTATGTGTTAAAAATAGAACCTTGAGAGTGATATCTCGCGAAATGCAGAAATTTTGTCGCGAAATATCCGGATATGATATCCGGATATTGATATCCGGATATGGGGTTGTAAATATCCGGATATTGATATCCGGATATAGGGTTAGAGATATTCGGATATGGGTATCCGGATATGCCCCCGACAAATATCCCGATATTCTGAGAATTTCGAGGCAGTGACGATTCTGTTCAGACAGAACTGTATTATGGGTTTATGGACCCATGATTGGTTAAGTTGAACCTCTGTAATAATTAACTAAGTCAGAATCAAAGTGATTAAGGGCTTATGGCTTTGTGAGGAGCCTACAGACTTGAAACGTAAAAGGAAAGCGTTGTCTTTATGTCATATGCTTGTAGATTACGATTGTTGATATGATTTCTAGTATAAACAGACTGTGAGAGTGCTGTTTGTGGACCTTGGACTTGGTTGGACTCTTGGTTGGATAGTTAGCTTGCGAGGTAAGCTTTTGTGTCCTCGGTTTAGCCATTGTTGGTTCCACCATACCCCATGGAGGAATGGTTTATATGCATGATGTGTTTTCATGTATTTATATTTTAAATGCTGTTGAGCTGTTATGTGCAAGTGCTTATAATATGCATGTGTTGTTCCACCTAGACGGTAAGCTTATGTCTGTAGGAGACATACCATAGGGTGATTCTGTGGGTGGGTGCAAGTAGTGACTTGCACTGATTGTAGGTAGTAGACGTATGTAAATCCTGCATTTCTCTGGCCAGTAGAATAGTTGACACACTTGACATGATTATTATGCTGCATTGCACTGATTTTGGAACTTATATTGTTTTACTGGTTTTAGAACTTATATTGCACATGTAAGTGAGCTTGGGGTGAAGAGATCCTTGAGGACCCCTTACCTTACTGAGATTTCTGTTTAGAGATCTCACCCCACGTTTGGGGCACATTTTCAGGTTCAGGTAACTCGGGGGTTGAGACCTCGAGCGGCAGGAGGCCGGAGCTGATGTGATATGCTTGCTGTTATTACTGTTATGCTTGGATGCTGACATGTTCAATCCTTATGATTCTGTTTGTTATTGTTGAGACTCTTTTGGGCTTTGTTGCCTTATTTGGTGAGCATGGGGGTTGTCCATGCCACATTGATTGACTATGTTTTATTTAGCATTGAGTTGTATAATTGTATCAAGATTATGGTCCAGACTACGTGTTGTAGTTTCGTGCCTTAGATACTCACTTATTTATGTAATGAGGTTATTCAGTGTATTTAGCTTTTGTTGCAATTTACATACAGGCAATGATTTATGAAAAGGAGTAAGTAATCAACTTGGTTAATATTAATGACGTCATAATTGAAAAGAAAAAATTTATTCCACATTTTTAATTAAGCAACACTTAATACGATGACATGTTAACAAACCGGGTATACACGGGGTGTTACACCCACAAAGAAGGTAATATGGTTGCAGATTGGCTAGCTTCTAGTGTTATCTTCCAAGCTTGGGACATGGAGATTCTGGTTGAGCCTCCTCAGGATTGTTGGAGTCTAATTTCGAGAGATATAATGGGAGTTGCTACCCCCATTGTTTAGTTTATTTGTAGTTATGGCTTCTGTTTTTTGTTTCCTTCTATTCCAAAAAATAAAATAAAATAGAAACAACTTCTAAACAATCTCCACTCATCCCTCAATTCAAATGTTTTTATAATTTGTTATTTAAATTATAATATATTGCTTTTTTTTCCAACAACTTCTACGGTAGTCTTTAGCTAGTATCAACTGAATCATTTCACAATTATATATTATGGAAAAAGTGTTTGTCATTTTAAATGATGTAAAATTATGTCATTTTAAGTGAAAAAAAGAGATAGATAAAGAAGGAGAGAGAGTGGACCAAAAAAAAGATGTGGGTCCCACATTTTTGTGAGAGTGAAATGGCACAAGTTGTGTCATTTAAAAAGACAAACATTTTTCCCTTATATTATTTCATTTCTTTCATAAATCTGTTCAAAATTTTATCAAACTAATTGCAATAACTAATTTAAAAAAAATCTTAATTAAATGTGCCAACTGAGCACTTATTTTTACATAGGAAGTTATGTCAGCAAAATTTGTTATTCTTTTTAATGGCGTTAATTGTTTGGACAAATTTGATAAATTAATGAAAAAATAATGTGAAAATGACAATTTATGTGCTAGAATAGGGTGTAGGAGAGATTTGAGCAATAAAGTGGTGCTTAAGGAATTCTTAATAAGAGGTCAAGGTCGCAGAAAGGAAAGAAAAATAAAGAATGTTTAACTCTTAATAAAGAATTCACAAGTAAATATTCCAGTCAAACAAAAATTAGCTCAAAGCCATTATTTTGTCTCTTCCCAACTTTTCAAAGTCAAAGTACCATATATTCTTTATGTCTTACGTGGCTTTGAAAGGACATAGTTATAGGAAGAAAGATTTTGAAGAAGACTAAACACAATTTATCATGTCACAAATAAATAAGTTCATATTATTCATGGATTATATTAATTTTATAATATTATGTATACAGAGAAGAATCTGTTTATAAACTTTTTTTAATTTTTTTATTAGTTACAATATCTTTTTCTGGAAGAATATAGTGTAACCAGTATTCTCTAGGAAGAAAATAACGTAGTTTGTAAACAAAAAAAATTTGTAAATATAATATGTTTCTTGGCCATGTATACATAGAAACAACTTCTAAGCAATCTCACACCGATCCCTCAATTCAAATGTTTATTACTGGCAAGAAATGAAAGCAACATGATAGTTGAGTACACATAAGGACCATAATTATCACCGAAAAGATATATAAAGGTTGTTTGTTTTAATTAGTTGTAATCAGGATTAGCCAAAAGAAAATCCTCAATACCCTTGGCGAACCCAGCAGACCTTTCCTTGTTACCCTTAACAAACTCTTCTGTGAGCTGAGCATCACCTTTGGTGTAGTATTTGGTGGCGGATTTGACTACGGTTCCACCATCAGGGCTTGGCACCAATTTGTACTCATAACAGATCTTCTCCAATGATTCTGACAAAGCACTGCCTTCAACTACGCTGTAATTGTACACATAGTTTTCTACATCAAGCGCATCTACCTTGTGGTTCACATATCCTAATCCTATATAAACATGACATAAAATGAATTAATTAACATGATAAGAGCTTAGAGAGGTATATATATATTGACTAATTGTTCCATGTAAAGTTAAATTTAATTAATTTATTATACCTTCAGCAAGAGTGAGCTTCTTAATTGATCCTGGCCCTCCATCTCCTTCAATAAGTTCAGCACTCTTAATGAAGTTTGGTAAAGCTTTTGGGAAGACATTGCTAGAATCTAGGACAATGGCTTTGTATAGTCTTGCAGGAGCGATGGTCGACACGTGCTCACCTTCATAAGTGAAAACACCCATGATGATAGAAAAAACTAATGCAAGAAGTTGTGAGTGGAAGAAAATAGCAAATTGCTTTGTGATGTTTGAGTGTGAGTTTGAGTTTATGGATTGTGAATATGGTATTTTATATAAGCGTTGCAGGTTGATGGGAAGCTCCCCTACCTCGTTACGGATAAGTTCAATTACTTTGACATTTTCTTATTAACTAATTTTCTCAAATAGTACATTAATTAATGAAGCAATCAACTCAAATGAGACGACTTTAGAAGGAACCATCCTTCTGGATGACATGTCAAGTTATTTAACGCTTTATTTATCAAAGAATCAAAATTCATAGAAAATATTGGCGTTTAGTATAATGCAGTATGATCACATAAAAACTAGCAAAATAATAGCATGTAAGTTAAACTTAATTTTTAAAACAAAATAATAGCAGCTTACTCCTTAAAACGTGGCTACTCCCATGCGAAACCAAGACTTCTGAATGGTCTATGATCCATCAATTGCGATTTCCTTTTTATGTAATAATTTCCATGATGTACATTGAATTTGCACCAAGCAATGGACACATAAAAAAAGACATGGTTTCTAGTCATTGTAGCAGCCTGCAAGCGCAATAAAATAAGTTTATGTGCTGATGTTTAACCCATTTATAATAAGAATTAAGACTCTGTCTGTAAGACCTTTTTAAAAAAAAAAAAATGAAATTCGCCTAGTCCTGTTTGGAATTACAATATTTGATATATATGAGGTATAGGAATTGGGTTTGTGCTGTATTTTAAGGATAAATTGCAGAGTTTTACCCATTAAAAAAAATTAACAGTTAAAATTATAATGAAAATATATATATATATATATATATATATATATATATATATATATATATATATATATATATCAATTTATGAAATTGTTAAAATAATTTTGAAATTAACAATTATATTATTTTATACTTTACTTTCTAAATTGCACCCTTCATTTTAGAGGAGTCGAATATGAAGAATAGTATAAATCAAAATGGTATAAAAAAACCATAATTATTTTATAATGCACAGAATAAAGTTTGTTAAAAAGCTCCAGAAACTTTCTAACTCAATTTATACTATATCTAGGCTGTAGCTCAAATCTTCAAGATGCATGGGATTTATTCGATCGGTTGCTATCTAGATTCCTTTAACATATAGAGCTTTACATGTTACAAGTCTTGTCCTTCTTTTCTATCCCTGGTTGTGATATATAAGGTTTGATAGTATAAATTTATATTATATGTTATGATATTTTTATTTATTAGGTGTGACAATCGTATAATATAAGCTTATACAGCAGAATCTCTTAATACATCAAAATAATGTATAACATTTTTTTTGGTAAGCAAATGATGTATAACTTAATTAAGTCTAATGAGATGAGATTAGTCTGATAAGGAGTTGATGTATTAACATCGTCAACCAGTGCAATTCTCAATAATTAATATATTATTTTAATATTAATATATTAATATAAAAATAATTTTTCAATATATTAATTTTTAAATATTAGAGATTTTTACTTTTATAAAAATTAATATATTTTTTGAATACACTGATCAATAGATTTTTATAAAAATTAATATCATATGTCATATTCAAAAGAATTATATAAATTCTTATTAAAGGATAATTTTGTCAAAAATATTTATTTTTATCCTATCTAGTATTATACGGTGCATTACTAAACACTGGATGATTGTTATTTTATAAATATATTATCTCATATAATATCATACCAAACACTAAATAATACTAAAATTTAATCAAGTCTTATACTATCGGACCTTGTCATGTACTGTACACCAAAGATGCATGTAATTAGTTGGCCGTTAGCTCCGTGTTAACTAAAAGAAGAAAGAAAGACTACTATCGGTTAGAAGATGCTGAATTTTTTATTTTTTTAAAAGACAAAATTAACAATTATATATCAAAAAAAATTATTATAACAGTTTATTTTTAAAACCAATCACTTTTTATAACTAAAACCCATCATTTCAATAAATCTTAAATAAAAGCACGATATTCTATATTGCCATTTATCAATTTAACGCATTGCGTTTTTTTATTTTTAAAATAAATTATTTTAAGCAAAATGTTTAAGAAAGAAGTTGGAAAAGTTTTGAATGTTTCATGCAATTTATTCATATACTCAAGTCTTATTGAAGTGGGTTCAGATATATATATATATATATATATATATATATATATATATATATATATATATATATATATATATATATATATATATATATATATATATATATATATATATATATATATATATATATATATTATATGATCATTTTATACCAGTGTAAGTTACACTCTTAATCTTGTCCATTGATCCCATTTATATCTAAGGGCTCAAATTTTTTAGTAATGTAAGCCATTGAATACAAGTGGATCGATGGTCAAGATTGAGTGTAAGACTTCTAACTCTTACACCAGTATAAGAATATCTTGCCCCATATATATATATATATATATATATATATATATATATATATAGGTATATTCTTTTGACACCGGTGTCTAATTTGTCAAAAAAGATCAATGGTGTCACATGCTTACAAATTAGAGCCGTTGATTTTTTTGATCTAACGGCTCTCAGATGAGGTGTCAAATTTGACACTAGTGTCAAAGGATCCTACCTCATATGTATATATATATATATATATATATATATATATATATATATATGAGGGAGGATATTCTTACTACTAAAATTTTCTACTACTAACTTACTACCTATCTAATCACCATTGAATCAAAGAGAGAGAATGCTAAAAAAAATTTGAAAAAAAAGAAAATGTTGATCCAATGGTGATTAGATAGGTAGTGAGTTGGTAGTAAAAAATATTAGTAGTAAAAATATCCTTCCTTATATATATATATATTTCATACAGATTTGATAACTTAATTTGGAATTTCTTAAAATTCAAAATATATTGAAATTAAGTTATCCATCAATAATTTGTATTTCCTTATCTATTTTTTTTTTTTTGGTAACTGATCATAATTATCTCTTTGAGGCGAATCAGAATCTCCGGTATTCTCACGATTCGACTCTTTGAGCCGCCTATGGGACTAATCTAGAGTTCGGGTGCGAGTCCAAGGAAAACGGTACTTATGCCCCTCCCGAGATAATGTTGATGGAATTTGAACCGAGGTTCTCTCTTAACAATCAGTCTCCATACTACCAACTGAACCACCACACACTTGGGTTAATATTTCAAGTTCAAGCTGGAAGTCTCTGATTTTCTATTGTTAAACGTTTTCTTTCTTTTGTTCTAACTTTTGTGGAGAATTAACAAGTTCAGATCTGAATCACGAAATTTCGAATTAGAAAAAAATAATATTTGATGCGGGTCAAGGGATCAATCCCAGGAATGTGAAATATTATTTTCGAGCAATGAAAAAGGACAAAAATAAATTCTATTAAATAATTGGTAATGGGAGAGTATGAAAGAATATTTCTGAAAAGAAAAATATCAAATTGACCTTACAAATTTAATAAAGAAATTGACGTAAGATGGAAGTTTCATTTAGGATTGGATAACTCCATACTATCGCTTTGGGCTTGGACATTTGTCATTTTATATTATAAAAAAAATTTAAAACTCCAAGAAAATAAATGTGTATTCTTCGAAATACATAATATATTAGGTAAAAAAAAAAAATTGTAAATTCAGTATGCCCTTAAAAGAAAAACTATTTGACTATAGTCTCACAGATCGACCCTCAAAATTAATTCGTAAAGATTGTGGAAACAATCTTACATGTCTAAATAATAATTTTCAAAAAATTGTATTGAGGTCCCGTTCATTTAACATAATCATGTTAATGTTATTTATTTATTTATAGATAATAGTTATATTTTTTACGAAAAATAAGTAAAACAAAAAAAATAAAAACTACTGTTTTAATCAAGCACTTCTTTCATATTTTTATTTTGTCCCAGTACCAATTATTTATTCTTTCAATATGATAATGAATATCAATATCTTTCACGTAATATGGTAATATTAAAATAATATATGAAATTATTCATTTCCAAATTTATTATAAAAGTATATTTAGGTGGCAAATTTTTATTATTAGCACAGACAACGAGAAGAATCACCGTCCAAGCAAATCAATTACAATCTTGATATGCTCATTTGGAAACTCTTCCAAAACATTATAATCGATACAGGTGGTTTGGGTGAGTTTAGTAGTTCAGTAGTTAAAGAGCACAGTAAAAATGACACGAAGTGCAACCAAATTCTTTTGCATTATTTAGTGCAGAATACAGGTGTGGTGCAAAGACGTCAACACCAACAGACATAGAGTATTTTTTGTAAGCAGTACCCAACCAAATCCACCCACAGTAACACTCATCAAACCGACACTAGTTCACAAGACAACCCAACAGAGACACGTGTACGAGGGTTCTCGCAGTACAAATTAAACAACCAAACGAATTAAACTCATTATTATTTTTTCATGAATAAAACAAAAAGCAAGTGCTTTTCCGAGAATCTAGTAATCAGGATTTGCCAAAACGTAACCCTCGATGGCCTTGAAAAGTCCATTTCCCTTTGACTTTGTTTCCTCACGCACCGCTTCCGATAGCACTGAATCACCTTTGGTATAGTATTTGACATTGACCTTTCCAATGGACCCACCATCAGGGCCAGGCACCACCTTAATCTCGAATGACACTTTCTCCAAACTTTCATCCAACCCAGTCCCTCCCACTATGCTGTAGTCGTATCCCAAGTTAGCTTCATCGATTGCTTCCACTTTGTGTAGCACATAGCTGGTTTTGCCACCTGCAACAATCATAAAATGTACTCATGTCTATGTCACACACACACAAATATGGAGCTATCTAAAACTAGCTAATTAATTAGTCCGTTTGATTTATTATTATACTTAGTCACTCTTGGCTTGATTTAATTCGTTAGGAAGTTGATCTCATCATTTCACTTATTCTAATTATATATAGCCCCATAGACAAGTTCTTATCCATGTGGGGGATTGTTAGAATTTATATATATAAATTGTGTAGACAATCTATTGGTTATGAATAAGAAGTTTGGTAGTGAAAATATGTGTCTTTTCGTCGACAAACAGATGTATCTTTTCATCCTAAAGGATGTGTTGTTTCATCCTAACGGACATGTTGTTTCATCCTTGAATGAGTGTTTTTTCGTGTTGAATGAATGTGCCTTTTGAAACGTGACCTTACGTTGTCTATAAATAGATACTAACACCTTCAAAAAATGGATCCAATTTTTTCTGCACTGAAACTCTGCCGGAATTTTTCTCCTTCCGGTTTGCATATTTCTTTTCATACTCCATCGTAGTTTTCTCTGGCATTTTGTTGTACTCGTTTGGGCTGTTGACTGGTAGTGCCGCCACTTTTCAGACGAAATCCATTCTATCCTGGGAGACAAGTGTCCATCAACTTTTGTCATCAGTGAGGGGGCAAATTGTCTTAAGGAGACACGTTCTGTGAGCTCGGATTTTAATTCCTCTTTTGACATATTATTCTGTCTGTTTCATCATTCTGTTTGTTTCATCATCTGATGTCAAGTAAGTCTGTTTTTATTATTTATAATTGCACAGGGATAATTCTGATCATTTATCCCTTCTGTTCTTTACATGGGTTCAAACCTCTAGTGATTTAATATCACCCACTGTCTTCAATAACAGATTCTTGATGGAAAATCAGCTGTGAGTGAGTAAAGTTTCATTTTGATTAAGAACAAAGGGAGTGAATATTATATAAATAGAAATATTCCTGCATCTAATAAAGTTTTGGATTTGATTATAGGGGCAGTAACATTCACAAACTTTTTTGTTTTCAAACTCTTACAAACTACACTATCTTCTCCCGGTAGAACACTAGGTTTCACTATGTTCTCCCGGGAGAAGATAGTGTAATTTGTAAAAATTTGTCAAAAAAGTTTGTAAACGAATCATTCCCCTTGATTATATATTTACGGGTTTTATATATGTTATGTTGTAAAACATTTTTAGTGTCATGTTACTCTAATACATTTGATGTGGATCCCACTCAAAAAAGAAAAAAGAAAACAAGACGGGTCTCATTTGTCATGTGAGAGTAGCATGACACTAAAAATGTCGTGCAACATGATATGTATAAAACTCTATATTTATAGTGTCTAATCTCACTTAATATCTGAATGGAGATCTTTCTCTGCCAAAGACTTTTGTTACTAGCCCAACAATTTTTGATTAAAAATAGGATTAAGTAGTATCTTTTTGAATGTTTATTATTTTTATCAAATTAGTTTTCATTCAAAAAACTTTAAAAATAATTTGATCAATTAATGCGTATTCAAAGATCGTGGTTATAATTTAATATTGGGTTTTATAATTCTCATATAACATGAGAGTTTGAATTTTTCTACACACCCTTCGATTTTCGTGCTGATATAGATTTCACATATAATTTTTTCTAACGTATGGTCCCACGTGCATTTTATCTCTATGACATGATATTTTAATTCTCATGCAAAATGAGAATTATAAAACCTTTTAATATTATTCAAAAACTAATATTACTTACGTTATATCTTTTGAAAACCAACTAAAATATTGATATTTTGGGTGTGTAATTTCGAGTCCATCTTTTTGGAAAATAATCATATTATGTATTACTTAACATGCTCATATCATATGAGATGATCCTAATTATTCATGGATAAATCAACAGTAATGATATTATTATTCCCCATTCTAATATTTTTTTCCTCTCATTTTTGTTCGTAAATGAATAATATCCTCACACATCACATGATCATATTAATTAAGACATAATATTTTGGTGGGATTCACAATTTTTTTTGGTGGGTGAGTCTATACTTAAATACTAGATTCAGTCAAGCATTCCAATTAAAACTAGATGAGACGGCAGTTACTTATAGCTTAGATTGGTTCCTGAATCCTGACAGACTGTTCCTAGCTAAAAATATTTTTACTAAACGTTTAAAAAAATTAGAGTGTGCCCCGTAGACTTAAAAGAAGATATAGTTGGGTTCTCGCAAAAACCCTCTGTTGAAATTTTCCTCCTTTCTAATTTTTGCACTCATGACAATCTGCTAATATTGCCGAAAGATTCAAACAAAAATTGCTAATATATCCTTCATTTCTCTTGAGTGAAAGAACTTTGGAAATTTCATGAGAGAGTTCTATCTCATCCTAAAAGTTGAAGCTTTATGCCGTTGTTATCCCATAGATGATAGAACACCTTTTTAGTGGGTCCTGTGGACATTGTCACCAATATCTTGGTTCATGTCCCAGCTTACCATATTTACTTATGAAACAAGTCTTGAAGCTTTGAAGATCCTAAACCTCAAGGTCTTATCATTACATAAAAATTAAGTTCAGAACGATCCTACATATAGAGGCAACAAAAATCCTACACCAAGAAAGGGAACAAAACCACACCCACTAGTGGAATTTCCAACAAATTTGATGTTGGAGGATCTTGGGCCTCTTTCTATTTCCAAGTCCTATGTCTTCGAAATGTGGCATTTCTTTAACCCATTGGGGTTTTGATTGAGCTTATTTTGCTCAGAACGAATTTAGTAATTTACTACCAAACCCTACAAATCTAATCCCCGCAGTCACGCAAATCAAATTAATATATGAAAAAACAATTATGTATTAAAAAATTTAATTTTGATATACTTTACTATTGAGTTTTTTATATTATTTGCACAAAATATTGTACATTTTCATTTAATTATATATTGTTATATTATTAAAACAGTATGACTTTTAAAGTAATTATTATGAACGTTTAGGGAAGTTAATTTTTTTAATACTAACAATACATGACTAAATATTACTATAACATTAAAATTTAAATTTAAAAATATGGAAGTAAATTACATTTTTTTATGTGAAATTATAATTACAGGTTAAAATAAAGTAAAATATGTTTATCCTGCAACATGAGATAAAATTATCTCCAACAACTGAAAACAATGTCATTTTGGATTTTAGAAAAAAAAATATAGAATATTTTAATAATTTCACTTTTCTTTTGTATCATATATTTTACTAAAATGCCTGTATTTTTTTCCTAAACCCCAAACGATATCGTTTCATGTTGTGCTTCCTATTTTTATTTTTATTTTTTTAAAACATGTGCTTCCTATTATATTATATCAAAACATGTATATTTCGTCACTTTTTTTTAATTTTATTCCATTAATTTTACTATTTTACAAAAGATCTTTTTCTACATATAAAAAAGTTGATTTTCTCATGATAAATTATTTATTTAAATTAATTTTGATGATAATCTACAATACTGATATGATAAATCAAATAACAAAATTACTTGAAAAGCCATTTCATTCATTAAAGCTATTACATTGTTACGACTCATTCCATTCCATACTTTGATTCTCTTCACCAATGTTGAAAGGTACAAATAGGACCCGTGACTTTTGAAAATTAAATATTGTATAAATTAAATATAGGTTTACTTTTTCTACGTTTACTGCAGATAAGTTATCTACAGTAAATCCATTACGACGTCGTTTTGGGACAAAAATTATAGTGTTTTTATAATTTTAATTTATTTTAGGGTTATTATAGTCTTTAAAATTATAATTTTCTAATCTTTCAATCTCAAAACGACGTCGTTTTGAAAGTAAATGCAGATAATGTATCTGCATTAACTGCAGAAATATTTTTCTGATTAAATATAAAACAAATATTTAAATTTATCTCATGAATTTATAAACTCGCGCAAACCTAAACAATTCGTCTATGTTTCCCAAATTTGTTATTTGTTATTAGGTAATAATTTTCTTCTGTTAGATATTGTAAGAATGATCCCAATATAGTGTCGGGGATTAAAAAGGATAAAATAATAATAATAATAATTCACATGCATTGTAGTGTACTACTAACAATTTATTAATAATATATTTTGTAAGTAAAATTTATTGATGAAGTGAGATACACATGACATAGAATCCCACAATTCCGCAGCAAAAGGAAAGAAAAAGCAAGATTACATTGAAAGCCAAATTAACCACAAACACAACCATATATAAGCAAGCACTTAGTTGTAACCAGGATTGGCCAAAACGTAACCCTCAATGGCCTTGAAAAGAGCATCACCCTTAGCTTTGCCACTCTTGAGCTCCTCTTCACTTGGATTGGCCAAAACGTAACCCTCAACTTTCCTTCATTATCTGCAAAAGAATAAAGTTAATCTTTAATCAACATAATTTTCAGGAATGTTAAAAATAATAATAGTACAACATTATTATTTATATAAGGTTTATTACTTTCACTATCATGTTTATTAGAATCTAACATATGTATTTTTCAGATTGTTGAATTGGAAGCACGCCTAAACAAGAAGTACACATTACTTCCAATTCATATGTCATATAACAATTCATCTGTTAACAAAATCATACATTTTACCAAAAGAGAGGAAATATAGAGCAAACGACCAAAGCACAGCCTTTTGGAGTGATTAGTGTAGGTCCCGTTTCACTTCACAATAATGGAGTTTCTTAAATGGACAAAATTAGACCATGGATCTGTTACTCACTACCAGGGCCCATCCACCACTCCATAAATGGCAAAACCTTCAACTTAATTCTACATATATACTCAAATTTCATAACTAATTAAAGCTTTTATTATACATGATTCTAACACCTCTCCTTATATATTGCTCCAGATCCATCTGCCGCACTTAGGAGTGTAAATGGGCTGGGCTGGGCTTTGGCCCCCTGACCCAAGCCTACGTCAAAAAAAATTTAGCCTATCTGGCCTACTGG